GCCCCCACATCGGGACAGAGCACTCACATAGTGGGGATGCCTTGGATCTGGATGGGCGTTGGCTGCTGGATTCCTTTTTTCTTCAGGCCCCTCAGGATAGCTGTGAGAAAACAAGACGCATCCACAATTGGAAATGGGAGTTTTCCCCCTACTTTTCTCCTAGCTCATTGCTCAGCAGCAGCTCTTTCACCAGTGATAAACACGCTCCCCAGCTAGACATGGCTACTGTCTTGAATTCCAGCTGTGATCTCATGAACACAGTGCTACAGATCTGCCAACTCTGCTCCCCAAGGCGAGCGCCCCTCAAGAGCACCGCTTCCCTGCCAGCCCCGCTCCTGTTCCCGCTCCCAGCCCACCTGCCGGGAATTTCATCTCCTTGAAGCTCTTGATGGGAGGGGGGATGCCCTCGCCCTCCACGAGGATGTGGTACTTCTTGCGCACGCGGTCGTGCCGGGCCTCTGACATGCCCAGGATGTAGCGGGGCGCTCTCCAGCTGCGAAGGCAATGGAAAAAGGTCACGGTGTGGGGCGAGCCCGGCGCCGCGCGGCCCCCACCAAGGCCCAGGCTGGCTCTGATGCCCCGTTACGGAAAGCGGGGAATCTCGCAGGGCACTGTGGGGAGAGCACATGGGAAAATCCAAGCTTGTCCCGTGCACTGAACATTTCTCCAGAGAGCAAATAAGAAACTCCAGCCCACAACTGTGAACAGTCAACGGATGATGGAGGTAACGTGCCAGGATCTTTTGGACACATCTCACTTCACCAGCCCCTGCCACTACTGGGCCTTGAGCAGCGCTGGCTCCTTGGGCTCTCACAGTCGCAGTCTCCAGCTTAGCCTTCTCCAAGAATGGAGAAAAACAGCTCAAGTCTCCAAGTTTAACACAGAAGTACCCTAGTAACGTTCACTACCTTACCAAATGTAAAACAACACCCAAAATAACCTGAGAGTCCTGGATCTTACACACAGTGCTAAGATGCCAGGTCACACAGCACAAGAAGAGCCGGCAGTCACAGGCAGCGTTCTGCCCAGCAGGCTGTGTGGCTTGTAGCTCTCTGCTGCAACAAAGTGATGATTTCAGAAAGAAACTGTCTGTATCAAAAAACATACCTGGTTTTAATTGGATCATCGTATGTGATGCCCTTTGCCATCTCCTTCACTGACATCAAAGCTGCAAGAACAGACGCACAGGAAAATCAGCAAAATCCATCTGTCTCCAGATACGCTCCATTCCAGCAAAGGAGTACTTGGGATAAAGGTTTGGGGGACCATGCTCAGAGATGGGTGAAAAGCAGTGGTACCCAGAGGCGCTACTGAGCACAGAAATACTGGGTGCTGCAGGTATGTAGGGACCAGCAATGGCAAAGTTCAGTCACACAGTCAGGCACCAATTGAGGGACGCGGCTACGTTTTCCTTTCCCATCCCTGGGTGCGTATATCACAGGCTGTTGCAAAGCAACTAACACAGCGAAGACAGCTCCAGAAAGCAGCCTAAGGGACGTGGAGCTCCCGCCACTCACCTCGGCCCTCTGCCACACTCTCCAGGATCTTCTCCTCCTCCTTCAGCTGCTTTTCCTTGGCCGACTCCTTCCGGGCTGCGGAAAGTCAGGGAAACAGTGAGAAGGCCTGAGTGCGCCAGGGCCACTCAGCCCTGCTGTGGCCGCCCCTACCTTCTGCCTTCTCCTTGAGGTGCTGGTGCTGGTCCAGGAGGCTGACGTTGGACTGGGGTCCCAGGGGGATGTCGTCCTCATCGCCGCGCTGCTCGCCCCCACTGTCCCGCTGCTCCTCCTCCGACACCACCTTGCGTCGCATCTGCA